CACTCTTTCAGGCCCTGGACTATTTGGCCATTGGCGTCCATGAACTTGCTGCAATTAGTGAAAGAAGAATTGAAAGGCTCTGCAACCCCTCCCTCAGCGAGCTGCCTGCCTTCCTGGTGGCTGAAGGTGGTTTGAACTCTGGATTCATGATAGCCCACTGCACGGCTGCAGCCCTGGGTAAGGACACTGCACTTTGCCCAGAATGCAAAGCCTATCCACCTAAAGGCCTTTCCATTCTACCTAAAAGTGTCACATTTTGTCTTTGAGACCTAACATTTTCACCACCTTCATGGGCATCCTCAATACAAATGCAGCAGGTTTAGAGAAAAAAATGTAAAATAAAACCTAGGCAACATTATACTGAAACATAATAACACACTAATGAGGTTGTAAATAAGGAGGTTTCCACGATTTCTCTGTAGGAAGCAATGTGACTTCACATGTGAACTTCATCTATGTAGTTTTTTCACTAATCTCAGTTTGAAGATTATCAGAAGGAAAAAATCAAAAGATGTTTATAGCTACTGGTGAAACTTGAACTGATCCAAGTGATTAAAGTTTGGATACATTCCGTAAGACACACCAACCACTAAAAACGTAAGGATGTGATTACAACATGCAAAAATGCTTATAAGAAGCAACATGCCCTCTATGAAAATTGAGCTTTAATATAGCAGATTTCTGACTCGAGACTGTAAGGGACAGAGAAGTAACATCCGAATAGAGACTGGCACAAACGAAGTGCAAAGGGCTTCACTTATATTTACTCAATCGTCAAACAATACTAAGAGGCAGGTACTATTATTTCCTCCATTTCAAAGATGAATACTTGAAGATCCAAGAAGTTAAGTGACCTACTCAATATTGCACAGCTAGTAAGAAGTAAAGCAGAATTCAGACCCAAGCATTTTGGCTTGCAAATCTGTGCTCTCACTTCAATTAATGAGGATCTCTTTTTAATCAATACGTAATCCTAAAATATGGTTGCCAAATTTAACAAATAGAAATGCAGGCTGCCTAGTTAAATTTGAATCACTCAGCATATTATCTGGTACTAAAAAATTATTTGTTTTTTTAATCTGAAATTCGAATTTAACTGGGCATCCGGTATTTTTTCTGGCAAACGTACCCAAGAGGCCGGATAGCATAGTGGCTCATAAGAGCATAGACTCTGGGTCCAAATCCCAGCTCTGCCCATTTACCAGCAGCGTGATATGGAGCAAGTCTTTTAATCCTGTTGACCCTCAGTTTACTCCTGTGTAAAATGGGGGTGATAAATTTACCCAACGGGGCTGTTTTGAGGATTAAATTAATGAATGCGTAGAATACCTTAGAACTGTGCCTAGAGTGTCACGAGCACTAAATTAATATTAGTTGTTACTATTACTACTCACCCCTTCCTCAGTTAAGTCTCACACTAAGACTCAACACAGCCAACAAAGAGCCACTGAGTTCACTTTCTGTCCAGTATTTTCTATTTACTCACTTACCTCCTTACTAAAATATCCCTCTAAGGGGCAGCAACTTCCCACATTAACATGGGGGGTGGTAACTGATTTTCAGAGAAGTGTTATGAATTTGGGAAGCCTCGTTTGGATGTGTTTAGCTGCCCTAGCTGTCATCTGAAGTTGCTCAGCTTGCTTTAATAAAACTGGTGGTTTTCTTTTTCTGGCCACTTGTAAGTTACGTTTCTGAACAAGCCCCACCAAACCAGGTGATCCACATAGCAGGTTCAGGGGCCCAGGACTTGCAGTGCTGAAACCTGAAAGCTTTGGGTAAACCAGGATGAGTGGATCACCATAGTTTATAGTATATTATCTCAGGATCCCCTATAGCATAGAAAAGAACTGCAGCTACACTCAGAGCTGCTCTCAAAGTTCAAAAAAAGAGGGGAAAAGACTCTTAGCGTTTGACTTTTCCCAGCTTCTGAAGCTGGGGAGAAGGAACTCTGTAATCTAGGTTCTTGCTACTTAAGGTGTGGTCCTCTGGCCAAAAATACAGCCATCACCGGCAATTTGTTAGAACAGCAGAATATCAGCCCCCATCTAAAACTCAACATTTGCACTTTTAACAAGACCCAGTGATTCATCGGCACGATAAAGTTTGAGAGACAGCAACCTAGGCCAACTCTAGACTTCCCCCCACCTCCCCAAGACATCCCCGCAGTCATCAAGCCCTTGTTTAAACCCAGTACATCCACTTATGTCATCATTGAACAGTCTCAACTGTAAATCTTCTCGCTCAGGATCTGTGGGTACAGCCTCAATCCCCAAACGCCACGCCTGAATTCTGATCCCGCCTCCTCTGGTGACATAATCAGACTGTCCTCCAATACCTGGAAATGACCATCACCTTTTTTACCCCTAGTCTCCCTGTCATGCTAAATGCTTCTAGTGTTTTCAACTTGGCTTTGTAATATGAGGGTTCCCATCCCCGTCTTATCTCCGAACTCACTAGAGTTTTAGAGTCCTTCTCACTTTGGGGGAAAAAAAAAAAAAAACAACCTTCTTTCTTTTCTCAAAGTAACTTTGGACCATCTGGTGCTTTGCTAATGACCAAGACCTCCTGGAGAGGGGATCCCACGCTGAGGAGCACTTTGGGAAGCCATGTGTCATTTTGGCAATTTTTCTATTAGGAACATACGTAAGTATGTCCCTAACTTAACTTCTCTGGCCTCTTGCAGTTTCTGAGAACAAGGCCCTATGCCACCCCTCGTCCGTGGACTCTCTCTCCACCAGTGCCGCCACGGAGGACCATGTCTCCATGGGAGGATGGGCAGCAAGGAAAGCCCTCAGGGTCATTGAGCACGTGGAGCAAGGTAACCCCAGCCAGGCTGGGACGCAGGCCTCCCTGATAAACTATACGCCAGTGGTCCTCAGAGTGGGATCCCCACCCTCAGTATCAGTATCACCTGGGAACTCAGGGCCTGTCCCAGACCTGCTGAATCAGAGACCCTAGCAAAGACAGCAGAACAAGCTGGGTGTAGCAAGCCCTCCAGGTGGTTCGGATGCTCCGTGAAGATTAAGAACCACACATGCTGGCCAAGCCAGTTCATCAGCTGGCTTTTTTTTTAACATGAAAATTTTAAAACATATTCAGAAGTGGAGAGATTAGTACCAGGAACCTTCATATGCCTCACTCTAATTCAACAGTTAACACATTTGTTTCATTTTTTTTTTTTTTTTTTTACTTTTCCCAAATTATTTTCAAGCAAATCCCTGTTGTCATGTTTTCTTCCTGCATACTTTCTCTCTCAAATACAAACTTTCTTATCCACCATGATGCCATTATCACATCCGACAAAAATCAACAATAAGTCTTGGTATCAAATTTTCCCAAATTACCTCAACGTCTTTACAGTTTGTTCAAATCAGGATTCAAGACCCACCTTTTAAATTCGGTGGCCAAGGTTTTAAGCTTCTTTTCATTTACAACAGTCCCCTCTCCCTTTTTTTTAAATTCATGCCACTGACTAGTTAAAAAACCACATCAGTTTTCTGACAGAGACTGACATTCTGGATTTACCTGTGAGCTTCCTCGTGGTGGTACTTTCCTTCTCTGTCCCATCATTTCTTGTGTGTTGCAGTTGGTCCTACAGACTTGACGAGGGCTTCCCTGGTGGCGCAGTGGTTGAGAGTCCATCTGCCGATACAGGGGACACGGGTTCATGCCCCAGTCCGGGAAGATCCCACATGCCGCGGAGCGGCTGGGCCCGTGAGCCATGGCCGCTGAGCCTTTTCAGCAAAGAGAGTTCATAGGTGGAGCCGTGTTAAGTCAACCTCTTCCAGCCTTCTTAATCACTGCTTGTTTGGTTTCTTGAAGAGAAACTGCCTTCCTTTAGGCATTGTTCTCTAAATTCCTAAATTTTTGCAACTGTATTGGAAGCAATTGGCTGACAAAAGAATACCACTATTTTAAGATAAATGTGAGAGAGTGGAGTATTCTTTTTTTGGTAACAGCTCTGTTGACATATAATTCATATACCATACAATTCACCCATCTAAATTGTACAATTCAGTGGGTTTTAGTAGAGTTGTGAATATATCAGAGTTGTGAGTCAACACCACAATCAACTCTAGAACATGTTCATCATCCCAGAAAGAAACCTTGTGCCCTTTACTATCACTCCCTTCCCCTCCCTGTCTGGCCTGGTTCGGGTGGAAAGGCATGTATCACTGAGCACAGTGGATTAAATGGTGAATGAGGTATTCTCTGCCCTCTTGGAAATTAGAGTCTACCTAAAGAGGAAGACATTGAACAACAACTTGGCAACTCTTTGTAGCACTTAACAAAATTCTGACTAAAGAATTGAGTTATACGAGGCTATAACTGAACCTGAGCTAGTCTGAAGGGATGAGAAAAGGCATTTCCAAAGGAGTATTTAAGATTAAGACCTGAAACGAATAGGGCCAGCTAATTGGGAAGAGGGGAGCAGTATTTAATAAGGAAAGGGGATGTGTGTGCACAAAATAAATTGTTCTGGGATGCGTCGCAATGATGTACAGATGCCCACATTCAGGAAAGAACTGGGATGGATGATGAAGGGCAGTTCTCTACGTGGAGGCAGCTGACGGCTGCAGGAGGTCAGGTGAGAAGCATACCAGGAACAGAGAGGCGGTTGCACTCAGGGGAAAAGAAGACTTGAAATGTTACCAGCCCACTGGAGGAGGGAGGGGAAACTTTTCAAAGGGAGGAGCTTAAAAAACCCAGTGTGGGGACTTCCCTGGCGGTCCAGGGGTTAAGACTGGGCGCTTCCACTGCAGGGGGCGTGGGTTCATCCCCCTGGCTGGGGAGCTAAGATCCGCACGCCCTGCGGTGGTCCAAAAAAGATCAGGAGTGAGAGAGATTCTGAAGCCCAAGCACGGACATCAGTCAAGGCCAGGGGATGGTGGGGAGGTGGGAAGGAAGGGGATGTAAGGTCAGGAGAAGCAGTCTTTTCTTAGTGAAACGGACACAGGTATAAATTAGCCTCAGATGTCGATAAAATGAATAGCGTCAGTTTTGAAAACTTTAAGAACGTCCTTGCAATATATCTAAGTAGAACGATTACTTATTTGCTCAGGATGGTTTTAGTTCATGTGACTTGTACTCTGTTAAGGTGAAGAAAATATTCATGGGAAACTAGAAGGTATTTCCATGATTCTTAGGATATATATTAAGTGTATTTAAATTTTTGGAAGGGAAGGGCAAAGGTGGTTATTAGGCCACTGAATATCAGCTTATTTCAAAATAAATGAGAATCGTATTTTTAAAAGTCCAGGTAAATCAAGATACACTGAACCCTTTGCATCTGTATCAATGAAGTGTGTGGTTTTTAAATCCCATCTGATGGCATCAGGGAGAACTTATGGTTGTGAATAGCAACGAAGAGTAGTTAACAGAATGCTGAGAGATGGTTACTCAAGGTTTTCCTGACATGTATCACGTTTATCTTGCAAACCCATCTAAGAAGCTATCTGTCATATGCACTAGCAAAATCCGCCATTTTCCTACTCACATTTCTCCAACCAAGAGGCCAGGTTTGTGTCATGTGGGTGAGGGCGAATCAGGAAGGTTAGCCAGTTCTGATCTTGAGCTCCAGCTCTATGAAATAAGCATAAGCACTTATTTCATAAGATGCTTTACTTCTCAAAGTTTCCAGTTCCTTACGTGTAAAGTGAGGGGACTGGACTAGAAGATGTGAAGTTTCTTCCAGGTCCTAATGGATTCTGTAACTTCATCTTCTCCCATCGTGACCTGTCTGTACTCACCAGAGTTTGGAATGCGCTTTATAAATTTTAAGACAAGAAGTCAAATGTTTTTAATACTCCATTTTGGTTAACCACTTAAGTGGCCTGATCAAGAGACCACTTAAGTGGCCTCTAAGCTTCTAAATTATCTTCTTGGCAAATAACAGAACCCAAAGTGGTTTAATTTTGAATTATATTTCTATAAAAAATTCTTCATTAGACTGTATCAAATGTAGAGAGATTTAGATTTCGATATTCAGAGTGGATCTCAAGGTATGGTACATCCCACAAGCATTCATAGCTAGGAAAAGACAGTGTAGAGATTGTCTTATCAAGAAACTTAAAGTTGGCAAGATGCCAATGGCTAGAATTTCAGTTTTAGTGGATTTGGGAGCCTTTAAGTTTGAAGGTTTGGAACAGACATTGGAGAATTAGTTCCAGGGCAACCAAAGACTCATCTGCTCATTCACTGGCTCCTTCAATCCTTTGATGAAAGTCTATCTGCCAGGTATTTCAGGCCGTAGGGAACAGCAAGACTGAAAACAAATTAAAATTTACACAAAGGTGGAAATAGGAAACAGGTCATCCATCTTGATCAGCTGAGGGGAGAAGGGGAAAGCTGATTTACCTGGGTAGTCCTACCTTTCTCACCATTAAAGATGCAGCCAAGGGGTTAGAAAAGCACATTTAAGATGGTAACCAAATACCAAGGGATCTTCATTCTACCCATAGACTGGGAGAACCAACCATCTGTTAGTTGGCTGGCGATGGCCGTCAGCTTGCATGGGATTTATATCCCTCGAGCATGAAGTCAGACTCTAATCAGCCGTCCCCTCGTCCATCCTTGTTTCAGTGCTGGCCATCGAGCTTCTTGCAGCCTGCCAAGGGATAGAGTTTCTACGCCCTTTGAAAACTACCACTCCACTGGAGACGGTCTATGACCTGGTGCGCTCAGTTGTAAGGTAAAGTCAAAACAGATTCCTGGAAAGTGACACTGTTTTAGAACTTTGAACCCTGGCAGCAGTTAACGTTGGCTCATGGTTTGATGTGCTGTCTCTGCAGGCCCTGGATAAAAGATCGCTTCATGGCCCCAGACATCGAGGCAGCGCACAGACTGCTCATAGAGCAGAAGGTAAATTGGCTACTTGGCTTAGTTCTTAGTTTGGGGTCGTTATGGGAAAGCAAAATGGGAGTGGAGAGTGGAAAAACATTCTTTTGCTTCCTGGCTGTTCCTTGGAAGTGAACCAAAAGGTACTCATGCAACTTTCAAGGTCACTAAGAAACTATTCGATACACTCTTAAGTGTCCCATGTTGCACCCAAACATGGACTATCTAAGGATTAGAAGCTGGAATGAATTTTAAATGGAATTTGGGGACAAGTATTTGTGGGGAGAAAATGAGATGAAAGGTTCATGGATTCCTCCCCATCAAGAAGGTTCTCTCTTATTAAAAATACATTCTCTTTTTGTAATGCTATCGCCACCACCACCACCTGGTTCAGTGACTGCACAGACCTGAAGAGAAAACAAATTTCCCGAGTTTTTATTCAAAGGGATCTGGATGTATCTAGTGCACTGGTGTGTCCTGCCCCATCACACTGGGTGAGATACAGGGTCTCTTTATTGCTTCTTCCCTCTGGCTACATTGACTGCAGATGCATCTGATAGGGACGGATGCCTAGAATGTAGACTTTTTTTTTTTTTTTTTTTGCGGTACACGGGCCTCTCACTGTTGTGGCCTCTCCCGTTGCAGAGCACAGGCTCCGGACACGCAGGCTCAGCGGCCATGGCTCACGGGCCTAGCTGCTCCGAGGCATGTGGGATCTTCCCGGACCGGGGCACGAACCCGTGTCCCCTGAATCGGCAGGCAGACTCTCAACCACTGTGCCACCAGGGAAGCCCTAGAATGCAGACTTACTTTTAAAATGTAGTTTTAAAGTTCTTTAAGCCTTTCATTTGTAGGTATCATGTTCCCTAGAATTGCTTGATTTTTCCCCTGGAATCATTGCACTGCTCTTGGGGAACAATTGTTTTCCTTTGACTTCACCCCTGTCATTTCAAAGTGTTCCCTGTACCCTTTGAGGGGAATTCCCTTGCTTGCTGCCAACTTTGGTGCTAGAAGAGAGGTGTGTGAGAGCTCAGCCTTTTTTTAAATTGAAATATGATTGACATATATCATTATATTAGTTTGCAATATAATGATTTGACATTTGCATATATTGCAAAATGGTCACCACAGTATGTCTAGTTACCATGCACTACCACACACAGTTACCATTTTCTTCTCGTGGTAAGAACTTTTAAGATCTATTCTCTTAGCAACTTTCAAATATACAGTGCAGTATTATTAACTATAGTCACCAAGCTGTACATGACATCTCCAGGATTTGTTTACTTTATAAGTGGAATTTTGTACCTTTTGACCCCCTCCACCCACTCCCCCAAACCCCCGCTCTGGCAACCACCGATCTGTTCTCTGCATCTATGAGCTCATTTTTTTTTTTTTTAGATTCCACATGTAAGTGAGATCGTACGATATTTGTCTTTCTCTGTCTGACTTATTTCACTTAACATGATGCCCTCAAGATCCATCCATGTTGTTGCAAATGGCAAGAGTTCCTTCTTTTTTTAGGGCTAGATAAAATTCCAGTGTGTGGTTTGTGTGTATGTGTGTGTGTGTGTGTGTGTGTGTGTGTGTGTTTATCTCACAATTTCTGTATCATTCATCCATTGATGGACACTTAGGTTTCTTCTGTGCCTTGGCTATTGTAAATAGTGCAGTGAACCTGGGGGTGCAGATGTCTCTTCAAGGAGGCTAGCTTTTGAAATAATACATTTTCTAAGGTAATACAAAAGAATAGGAAATGCTCCTTCCCTGTCAGCAGCAACCAGATAAAAAGCAGCTATAATATAAACGAAAAGCCGGACTTTAGTTTGAGAAGATGTTATGCTTAAAAGGAAATAGGTTCGTGGGTGGAGGTAAACACTAAACAAGGCTGTGAAACAGTGCTTTTCAAACTGTAAAGTGCACGTGAATTTCTAGGGGATCTTGTTAAAGTGCAGGTTTGGACTCAGTAGGTCTGCAGTGGGGCTGACATTCTGACTTGTCCCAAGCGATGCTGACACTGCTGGTCCAGGGGCCACGTTCTGAGTAGCAAGGGTCCAAAGAACAGAGGGCGTGTGGCATGGAAAGAGAGCAAAGAGAAAATCCACTGCCTCTTATCATTTAAAGCTTGCCTTAGAAAACACACAGTCCCATCCTTGAGCAACTTTCCTTAATTCCATCCACACTGAATTCTCTAGGTTTTGTTTGTTTCCTGGCTTGTTTTGCTTTAGAAGAGTAAGCAGCTGAAAACCTTCATGGTAACTTTAGAGACATTTTGGACTTTGTATTTTAAAAGCTGTTAAAGCAACCAAAGACTCATTGACAGATCATGTGTCAAATGGCTTATAATAAAAGCAAGCAAACAGCCACTGTGTTATCTAGTCAGTTAGAGATAATGTTTTGACTTCACATGAAGTTGATGTTTAATGGCGTGTGTGAAAACAATGTTGTCAACACTTTGACTTTGTTTTGTCTTTGCATTTCAGGTTTGGGAGGTAGCTGCACCATACATCGAAAAATACAGAATGGAGCATATTCCGGAATCAAGACCTGTTTCTCCAACAGCATTTTCATTGGAATTTCTGCACAAGAAATCGACCAAAATCCCAGAGTCTGAGGATGTTTAATGCTTTTTGTCACGAATTAGCAGATCAGGTGGTACTTAGTTTAACAGCAAACAGTATTATGCTGAAGGAGAGACCTGAGAACTTTCTCAGGTGGATCAATCAATTATATATTTCAGTTCTAATACCTGCTCTGGTTAGGCTGGTGACAGTATTACATTTACTGAATCTAGCACTGGTTACAGATACAGCTGGTGTTTCCAGATTATAGGAGTTTTCTTGTTTCTTAATGAAATCTACAGGCTGCTCACTCTAAGGGTGAGAAGACTAACCACAACTGCATGGACCTTTGACTCAATATTAGATGAACTCAAATCTTGAGACAGATTGATGGCATTGTTTTCCAAAAACATTAGACTTTTGTGAATCTTTTTTTGTTTGTTTTGGGTTTGTTTTGTTTTGTTTTGTTTTGTTGCTTTGTCAGACTCTCCACTAGTTAACTTTGGCTGATTGTACTGTGCCATGCTATGATGAATGTTCCTTAATATGTCTTTGTAAACAACACTTTTTAAGTCATAATTAGTTCTTAAGCTGCTTTTTCTTTTATTCATTGAATCATAGTAAAGAATAGTCAATAGGTCAACAAGAGATTCTGTGTAAAGGAGTTAAGGAATGAATATAAAGATTGCTGTTGGAGTGGTTCTTAATGAATCGTGCATTTCATATTTATCAGATGTCACTACACATATCAGAAAAAGGATTCAGATGCTTAAACTGGAATAGGAGGTTAGTGTTATTGCTACTAAATTTACCATGTGTTAGTACTCTATTCACATTCTTGTAATAACCCAGCTTAAGACGCCTCCTCATTTCACAGCTAAGGAATCTGATGTTCAGAAGTTAACCAACCCCCTCTCTATAATAGTAATCATTGAAACAAGGCCCCGTTGACAAAGGTCAGATGCGCCCTAGGATGTTACCCAATCTGTTCCCTCCCCTCCCCACAAAGAAGATAAAGAACCTCCTGGAAAGGCTTAAGTGTAATTGTCCCGTTGAAGGATGGGTCACATGACTTCTTGGCTTCCCGAAGCTGTGACTTTGCACCCTTCTGTGCAAACATGAGCAAGGCGCTTTCCAAGTGCAGGAATGTGAGACCATGGCTCTAACAACTGCAGCTGGTCAAGGAAAGGACAGGCACACTTGCCAGCTTGCCTACCTGATTACAGCCTTTTCACGGTAGAGTCTTCTCTTAGGTTGCAGCCTGTTCACAGGAAAGGTAGAGACAGGAGTGCAAATCAAAATTCAGTGAAGCAAAATGTGCTGAGGAACCTGTTTGCCGAAAGGTGGTTCTTTTTTTTTTTTTTTTGCAGTATGCGGGCCTCTCACTGTTGTGGCCTCTCCCGTCACGGAGCACAGGCTCCGGATGCGCAGGCTCAGCAGCCATGGCTCACGGGCCCAGCCGCTCCGCGGCATGTGGGATCCTCCCGGACCGGGGCACGAACCCGCGTCCCCTGCATCGGCAGGTGGACTCTCAACCACTGCGCCAGAAAGGTGGTTCTTGATGCTGTTCTTTGCTGAAATATAAACACACAAATGATGTTTATTCATTCTTATCCACGAGCTGCAGTGGAGCCAGTAAACCCAGTGGTTTGATGGCTGTTCGTCACTGGTATGGGGCGGGTTGGTTTCCCACAGGCCCCTGCGCGGTCCTCTGGGGCCCTCTGTCATTGAGTTTTCTCTACAGCTCTGTACTATGCCATCAAGGGAGTTTCAAGGTAAATGTGGAATAAACTAAGTCTCAATTGTCTTATGTCATTGCTGTATTCTTAGATTTTTTTATAACAAAGTTTAACACCTTGTCAGGGAAAGGTTATTCTAACTGCAGTTAATTACATTTCTGAAAGATTTTGTCAGTGAATGTTCACACGGTACAAAGTGTCTTTAGAAAATGTGGTTGATTCGGTATACAGTCTCTCTCTTCCCCATTGAGCAGCCCAGAGAGCTGGAGGCATCACGATTTCTGCTCCAGTGAGCTCACCTGGCTTCTTCACCTGTTCTCTCGGGGCAGCCACAGAGCAAACCCCAAAGCGCAAGGAATTTTCAAGCTTCTTTTGTGCCACATTTGCTAACGTCCTGTTGGCCAAAGCAAGTCACGCATCAAGCCCCTCAGTTTGGGAGAGTAACACACCAGGGCGTGGGCATGTGGTTTGGGGGCTGTAGCTGTCACAGTCTGCCGCATACATGAAATTCCACACATAACCTGAAAACTTCCCAGGAAGCTACTTTTCATTACTACTTTAAACTTCTGTCTTCTTTCTGAATCTGGTCCCTGGATGATTAGCTTTTTTATTAAACCTTCTAATTATCTCATGAATAGCATGATCATTTTGCATTTGGGGGTTTACTTTGGTTGAAGGTATTAACTTATTAAATGGAAACACTGAAATTATACCAAAAAACAAAACCACAAAAAGAGCTCGAGGAAATTCGTTTCAGCTCAGGGCACAGGCCTGGTTCGTCTCAAGGGGGTCCCGTTCCCTTTACTGGGTGATTAGTTCAAGAGACAGCGGAGGTTGCAATTTGGGCCAATGAGACAGAAGAATTTTACTGCAGACTTGAGAAAACACTTTCTCTCCTGAGAGCCGTGACAGCCAGGCTTTCTCCCTCTTCTGCTTGACCCCAGTGAGAAAGCACAAAGCTCCTCTGGCTGCTGCGAGTCAGCCACACCTGGGGGAACCTGGCCTTGGGGTGCCGCCAACACTGGAGGACAGAGCAGAGGGAGGGAAGGGATCTGGGTCTTCAGGATTACTGAGCGGCTGGGTAAACCACTCCTGAAGCCTGTCCTTCCTGTGAAATTCCAAGGGGGAGCTAATGAGCTTCCTTATTTTTTTTTTTAACATTTTTATTGGAGTATAATTGCTTTACAATGGTGTGTTAGTTTCTGCTGTATAACAAAGTGAATCAGCTATACGTATACATATATCCTCATATCCTCTCCCTCTTGCTTCTCCCTCTCACCCTCCCTATCCCACCCCTCTAGGTGGTCACAAAGCACCAAAGCACCGAGCTGATCTCCCTGTGCTATGCGGCTGCTTCCCACTAGCCATCTGGTTTACATTTGGTAGTGTATATATGTCCATGCCTCTCTCTCACTTCGTCCCAGCTTACCCTTCCCCTTCCCCATGTCCTCAAGTCCATTCTCTACGTCTGCATCTTTATTCCTGTCCTGCCCCTAGGTTCTTCAGAACCATCTTTTTTTTTTAGATTCCATATATATGTGTTAGCATATGGTATTTGTTTTTCTCTTTCTGAGAATATTTACTTCACTCTGTATGACAGACTCTAGGTCCATCCACCTCACTACAAATAACTCAGTTTCATTCCGTTTTATGGCTGAGTAATATTCCATTGTATATATGTGCCACATCTTCTTTATCCATTCATCTGTCGATGGACACTTAGGTTGCTTCCATCTCCTGGCTATTGTAAATAGAGCTGCAATGAACATTGTGGTACATGACTCTTTTTGAATTATGATTTTCTCAGGGTATAAGCCCAGTAGTGGGATTGGTAGTTCTATGTTTAGTTTTTTAAGGAACCTCCATACTGTTCTCCATAGTGGCTGTATCAATTTACATTTACATTCCCACCAGCAGTGCAAGAGGGTTCCCTTTTCTCCACACCCTCTCCAGCATTTATTGTTTCTAGATTTTTTGATGATGGCCATTCTGACCTGTGTGAGGTGATACCTCATTATAGTTCTGATTTGCATTTCTCTAATGATTAGTGATGTTGAGCATCCTTTCATGTGTTTGTTGGCAATCTCTATATCGTCTTTGGAGAAATGTCTATTTAGATCTTCTGCCCATTTCTGGATTGGGTTGTTTGTTTTTTTGATATTGAGCTGCATGAGCAGCTTGTAAATTCTGGAGACTAATCCTTTGTCACTTGCTTCGTTTGCAAATATTTTCTCGGATTTTGAGGGTTGTCTTTTCATCTTGTTTATGGTTTCCGTTGCCGTGCAAAAGCTTTCAAGCTTTTTAAGCTTTGTTTTTGTTTCCATTTCTCTAGGAGGCGGGTCAAAAAGGGTCTTGCTGTGATGTATGTCACAGAGGAACTTCCTTATTTTTCAAACCAATTTTAGTCAGTGCGTTCACATCTCACTGTGCCATTTCCAGAGCTTTCCACCCAGATTTCTAGCACCTGATACCTCCTACTGTCTCCACCAAAGGACTTGGTTAAGGTGTCTTGCCAGAGTCCACTCACACAGCACATACCTGAGTGCCTACTCTGTTCACTAAAACCAGATTAATCTTTCTACCACAACACTCTTGTACTGGGCCTAACCTGTTCAGAAACTTGCAGTGGCTTCCCCTGACTTTAAGAATGAAGTTCCAGGACTTCCCTGGTGGCACAGTGGTTAAGAATTCGCCTGCCAGTGCAGGGGACACGGGTTCGAGCCCTGGTCCGGGAAGATCCCACATGCCGCAGAGCAACTAAGCCTGTGCGCCACAACTACTGAGCCTGTGCTCTGGAGCCCACGAGCCACAACTACTGAAGCCCGCGTGCCTACAGCCCGTGCTCTGCAACAAAAGAAGTCACCACAATGAGAAGCCCGTGCACCACAACAAAGAGTAGTCCCCACTCGCCGCAACTAGAGAAAGCCCGCGCGCAGCAACTAAGACCCAACCTGAGTCGATCTGACCTTCCACGCCCCCACTGAACCCTCCACTCTAGGAAGACTCAGACACCCCCCTTTCTGAACACCCCATGATGCGCCATCTCCGGAGCCTTTCTTTCACATCAAAATCTTTCCAACCTCTCAAGCTGAGGATGGCCATGCCCTTTTCCACCCAGCCATGGAATTGTTTCTCGCTGGGTTTCACTTTTCCACTTTACTCCCCCGTAAGCATCATCCATTATATTCAGGAATTCATATGCTTTTTCCAATATACATAACAAGTATTTTCCTTAACACTGCATTCCTGGGTTGGCCTGCTGAGTGTGTTTTAATAAGCAGTTTTCACTAGGACCGTCTGTCTGCTTGTGCAGCCATTCATTAATTCATTCACTGATCGCCTACTATGAACTAGTCACTACAGTAGATCCTGGGGACATGACCAGGCCCCTGCCCTCTACTAACACACAATCTAAAGGGAAAGACAGTTTGATTGCAATGCTATAGAGGCTATCATAGAGGGATGGGAGCTTGGCGTGGGGGGCAGTGACGAGCTCTGACTTCCCACTTAGAGAAGAGAGGGCAAGCACTCCAGGCAGTGGGAACGGTGCTGCAAGGCCTGGAGCAGCAAAAACAAATGGCGATTTTGAGGCACAGTGTGAAGGTCCATGTGGCTAGGGTCTAGACCACAGCCCTTCTCAGACTTGAACGGGCATACAAATACCTGTGGGCTTGTTAAGACCAGATTCTTTTTCAGCAGGTCTGGAGTAGAACTGAAGTTCTGCATTTCTAGCCAGCTCCTATGAGTTGCAAGAGCTTACAGGACACTGGTCTGGGAGGACTAAAGCAGTTCCAGGTGGGTATCTTCTGCTTTCATTCAAAAAAGACATGAACACTACTTGTGTAGAGTGAGTATCTCCTAGAAAGAAAATAGGAAGTGCTCCACCTTTTTATTCCGTAGTTATAAGGATATACTTCTACATGGCCTGGGTTCCAGGACAGACCTAATCTTTAGTTTTGGCCTTTATATGGACCTCCTGCATCCCAAACTCCCACCATCGACTAGGAAACCGGTCATAGGGGAGGCGTCTCCCACAGCAACTCGTGCTTTCCCACACCCGCTCACGGCTTCTTCACCAGGCATGTGAGGGGCAGAGCTCCAGGTACCCCATGCTACTAGCCCGTGATAGCGATGTGCACTGTTACCCTTAACCTTCTGACAAGGGGTATCTTGAGTTGATCTATGTTGAATACAGTAAAGCCTCATTGGTTCAGGCTCTATTAACTTGAAATAGGTGATAATTTGGGTACTTAATGTTTACTTCTCTAGTCATTTCTTCATAAATAGGACAAAGTTTTATCATGCAGTTGTGATTGTAAGAATGATCAAAGCGTTTAAAAACATTTCAAGTAAACACATGGCTTTAGAAACACTCATTTATATAATCATCCACTTTTTCTTTAAGTAATCCACTTTCTTCTGTAATTTGTTCATTTCCTAAAAGGTTCTAATAGACACCACTGACTGGCTTCCAGGGCTGTAAACAACAACAATAATAGTGACAGCAAATATTTATTGAAAGCTATAGATTTTTTTATACATTTGTAATGTGAAGAATCAAAAAGTTTAAAACTGTTTTAAAAATTACATTATTGGATTTGGTCAAAATGCATCCATTACAAGAAGGTCCCTATACTTGTGTACAAAATGACAAGTCCTGAGCTCTGCTGTGAAGCTCTATTGCAAGGGTTGAGAAGAAAACAGAAGAACACCCTCCCTCAGAGGACCCTAATGCATTCGAAGAGCATCTAGAAAGACACACTGTGTGGGGAAAAGAAAAACTATTTGCTTATTACAGATGGCTACATTTTAGCTTAGTTTGTGGCATTTGACTTGGATTTCCCACTCCCCCCCGCAATTTTCAGTAAATATAGTTTAAGAATTGAAACTTGAAAAGTAGAAGCAAAATGGGAATTTTAAGCCATGTCCACCTATTTGCCAATCTGCATTTCCCCACAAAGGCATTTCTGTGATACTCCTTCATATTAATCTGCAGAATATGTATAGAAAATCTTTGTGAAGTAATTTAATCCTTTGAGATTATCATCACAAATGGTTTACTTGCTTATACGTCCAGGTGCACATGTTAAAATAAGTGAATCCCCTGGGTTTTTCAAGTGGATAAACAAAATACAGAAATAGATTTAAGTGACATCATTCTGGTAAACTACTAAGGTATTTTAACTTTTAATATAACTGTATTGACTTAAACAGTAGAACAGTGTGCTCTTTCCTTACAGATCAATCATTTTTTATAGATGACTTTTCCTTTAGCTATAACATAATCAATTAATTCGTGATGGCCTCCAAACTGGTAAATCAAATGCTCCCATCTAGAAAGAAATCAAACATAAACGGATACAAGTCAAAATTATCACTCTGTCAATAAATGCTAATTTCAAAATACATTCTCTAAAAATTTTTTTATACTTAGTAGTTAATATTTGGGCTTTTTAAAAAATGGTAGAGTACTATGATAATTAGTCTATGATAAATCCAATATTGTTTAATGATATTAAGTATTTGATCTTAAAATACTTGATTCACATTAGAACAATGACTCTAGATCAGTGCTTCTCAAACTTTAGCATGTATCTTTTTCACCTAGAAGACTTTTTAAGACAGAGATGCTAGGCCTACTCCTGGAGTTTCTGGTTTGGTAGACTGTCCAAGAGGCCTGAGAAGTTGCATTTCCAACAAATTCTCAGAGGATGCCCTTGCTGCTGGGACTGCACTTTGAGAACCACTGCTCTGGACTAGCAGTTGGCAAACTGTGGTCTGTGGGCCAAATCTGGCCTGCTGCTTGCTTTTTATTGTTCTTGAGCTAAGACAGTCTTGTTTGGGGTTTTCTAAATTATGACTTAAAGTGAACAACAAAGACAATAATATTCTGTGACATAAAAATTATATAAAATTCAAATTTCAATGTCCATAAATAAAGTGTTATTGGAACAGTAAAAAAAAAAAAATTTGCTTCAGTTAAATGATGCATGAGTGGTAACACCAGCATCACTCTCGATAGAGACAATGGCTTATGACCCTTGAGAGTAGAATTATGATGGAGCCACTCTCTTCTGTTGAACATGAGGTCCAAGGCCTGGCAGAGGCTTGCTAGGGTCCAGACACCATAGGATTCACAGCTTTAAGATTTAGAACAGGGGCTTCCCTGGTGGCGCAGTGCTTGAGAGTCCGCCTGCCGATGCAGGAGACGCGGGTTCGTGCCCCGGTTCGGGAAGATCCCACATGCCGCGGAGCGGCTGGGCCCGTGAGCCATGGCCACTGAGCCTGCGCGTCCGGAGCCTGTGCTCCGCAATGGGAGAGGCCACAACAGGGAGAGGCCCGCATAACGCAAAAAAAAAAAAAAAGATTTAGAACAATAAAACTCAGCTTGTTACACTGGAAGCCCAGGTGGCAGCAGGCTGTGAGTGAGTAATACAAAACAAGAGGCAGGAAAACTGAAGCAAGGCTTCTGGGATCCAGCAGGGATGAGAAGTCAGAGAGGTAATGAATCAGAACCAGGATGACAAGCCAGAGCTGGGACCTGCGTGGCCCAACACAAGCAGAAAAGGTCAGAACCCGGGAAGAAAAACAAACACAGGCCAGAGGGCACAAGTCCAAAGTCCAGGTAAACAGAGCAGAAACCTGGAGATCTATGAAAGATATAAGATGAATGAAGAGACCAGAAAAGTTGGTCTACCCTGCAGTTTAGGACCTGGAGGGAGAGTTTTTGCTTAGAAAGGGGTGACACTAAGAAGACTGGGTAGCTGCTGAGCTTATACAGAGCCTGACACTAATAATCAGTGGAAAAGGGATTTAAACCAAGTCTCCATATTACTGTGGGCATACAATAAAATGGCTCAGCTGGGAGAACACTCACCTGGATGAATTGATGATAATGAGATCTCCCTGTTTGCCTACTTCCAAAGATCCATGAGTGTGAGATTTTCCCAGGGCATAAGCGGCATTGATGGTGGCAGCGGCCAAGGCCTCGGGCATGGACATTCTCATGTTCACACAGGCCAGATGCATGACCATCGGCTAAGACGGGAAAAGAAAAGCACTGGAGAAAAGCAACAAAACGGCAGCTGCCACCTAGGACATTTCTCAACACAGCACAACAAATAATGATAGTTAAATGTATAAGTGGAGCTGGCTAAATTAGTATGAGAAAAGTTAAATTTACATTTACACGTAAAGATTCTTACGCTTTGGGAAAGATTCGTTTATTATAGAGATTACTTACCCACCCACCCCCTATATGTATTTAATATTTATTTATTACTTTTCAAGGCCACTTACTGTGTAAGATGAAGCTCACCTCCACATTTACTTACTAAAACTTACTAAACTTCCTTGAGCTTATGCAATTCTGAGAGGGGAAAATAGGTTACAGTAAAACCACAATGCCCAAAGGCTGCATCAAAGCATAGTATCAATAGAACTTTCTCTCTTCTCTCTCAGCCTGGAGGCATTCAAGTGGCACAGAAACATCCAATTACACTGCTGTCGACACTCTTTTCTTGTTTCACAGGAAAATCTTTTCAGATCTTTGAAACATTTTAACAGTTAGTGAAATATTTTTAAATTATTTATATGCTTGGTAGAAGTTTCATAGACTATGAAAGGCACATTAAAAATAATTACCATTGAAAAACAATACGCATTAGGGTTGAAATCGCTGCCCAGAGCGACTATTACCCCTTCATCTAACATTTTCCTGGCTCGAGGTTGCTTCAGTCTAAGGAGAGAGAAAAAAATGATGTCAGTCTCTAAAAGTGGAACTTTTGAAGAACAGATGTTCAGAGTTGAAGCAGACTTAAAGATATCCAACCCCTTCGTGTTCTGGAAGAAGAAACAGAAACTCAAGATTAAGTGATTAGTGGTGGCGTCCAGCAGAACCCCAGGACTCCTGATTTTTATCAGCCTGCTTTTGAAATCACTTGGCTATGGCTTTTTAAATTTGGGATTATCATGACAATCTTTATATATATTCAGAGATTCTTGCAAAGGAAGAAAACTTAAAGTTGTTTTCAAATGTAATAAACTTTTTTTGACTCCCAAATATAAACAATGAGGTTTAAATAATGCTTTTTAAATTAACATTTTACAATTTTTTGTTCATATCTCTCCCTCTCCTTTTTTTGGGAGGGAGGGGGGTCTCAAACATTTTATAGGTCCTTTAAATTTTTGAAGGCCCAAGAAACTAATATGTAACATATTTGTGCTTCTTCCTGGATTGGGTATCTCCCTGACCTCCTTGCAAGCTTTTTTTGTTGTTTTTTGTTGTTTTTGTGGTACGCGGGCCTCTCACTGTTGTGGCCTCTCCCGCTGCGGAGCACAGGCTCTGGACGCACAGGCTCAGCAGCCATGGCTCACAGGCCCAGCCACTCTGCGGCATGTGGGATGTTCCCGGACCGGGGCACAAACCGTGTCCCCTGCATCGGCAGGCGGACTCTCAACCACCGCGCCACCAGGGAAGCCCTTGCAAGCTTTTTAAAGTAACTGCTCTAAGAGGAAGTTCAGAGGCCTATCTGCCTATCACCAGGTTTTACTGGAACAAACAGTTAATTTTCCTGGCAGGTTGGGCTTTCTCAGACAGGTATTCTAAGGGGGCCTGGGCTCATTCTAGGGAGGCATCCTGGAGCTGTTAGAAACTATGCCAGTGTTTGTTCAAGTCTCATAATGTTGGGGAAGCTGGGTGAATAAAATCATTTGTGCCAAGAGCCTGTAGGTTTATAGGCAAGATTGAGGTTTAGTGGAGAGAGGGGCTCAGAGGAGCCTGAATAAAGTTTGGTCAAGGAGAGACCTCCGCTGGAAAGCCTTCCCAGTCACCTTGTTGGCCCTCATTTCCTCTGGCTTCCCCAGCACCCCACACCCCTCCATTTTAGAAACAATAGCTATTGTTTCATGACAATGATAGTGGACTGGTCCTCAGCCATTATGAACCTGTACTGCCCAGGAGCTGTCTTTAAATAAAGCTGCTGAGGGTAACCCTGACCCCTCCTTTGAGACCCTACTCTAGCCTTAAGTTCAATTTGATTGATCGGTTGGTTGTAAAATATTAAGACTATTACACCTGCCCCTCTGCTGGCAAGTCCAGCAGGGGCTAAGGATCACTGAAAGGATTATTTCTTTTTCTTATAATTTGTCCCAGCACCCAGTCCTGTCTCTGGCTAATTAATATTTTTGATTGAATGAATGAATGATACTGTTATATTCTAGGAGTGTACTAAATATGGCAAAGAATAGAATAAATTTATTATTAATAATTAATAATTAATAATAATAATAATTCTGTGCTCAGAGTAGGTTCTATTTATGTTTTATACAAAGTCGACCTAAGTTTGGCATTCAAGGCTCCCCACAAACTGAGCCCACACTTCTTTCAGGGCCTCCTTTCTCATCCTTGCCCTACCCAATACTGCACTTGAACCACTGGGGTTTTCTATTTGTACATTTCTGAGTCTGCCATTCTCCTTGCCTAGAATATCCACCCCTCCCTGAAATGCATTCATATTCCCAGGCCCAGCTCACATCTCAGCCACCCATGCTCACTTTCCCTGGTCACTCAGCCAGAAGTGATTATCCTTTTCATTACCTCTATAGGTATTACTGTCTATTCATTTATCATGTTTCATATGCTTAGACTGCAAATTCCGTGAAGGACCATGTGTGTCTTATTCACCATTGTGTCTCTAGTACCAGTACAGTGCCTGGTATTAATAGCTGATTGATTATGTTTTGTTAAAGGAATTCTTTAATTTTTTATTATTGTGTTTTCATTGCACTTCAGTTTTCTTTTCTCCCCAAAATACAGGGACTTCTTGGCAGCTTCAGTGAAAAGCATATGGTATCTAACACATGGAGATCAATAAAACTTGCCTGGTCATTAATTCAGCCATTCATTCTAAAACCATCCCATTAGTGAAAGCTCTGTGCCAGGTACTAAAGCCTCAGAGTCATCCTTGAGTCATTTCTCACAGTCCACATCCAACCCATCAGAAAATCTTGTTGGCTTCCCCTTAAAACTATATCCAGAATCCAACTCATTTTTATATCCCTCTGCTACCACCTTGGATCCAAGTCACCATCATTGCTTGCTAGGATATTTGTTAAGACCATCCTAACTGGCTTTCCTGCTTCTACCCTCAAGCCCCTTAAAATATATTCTCTTCCTAGCAGCCAGAGGGGTTTTTTAGAAAAATAAGTTAGATCATGTCACCGTGCTTTTAACCACTCTCAGTGTCTTCCCGTGGGCTTGCTATCTGCACCATGAACTCAGCCCTTCAAGAACTGCCCCTCTTTCTAGCCTCGTCTCCTATCTCTCACTGCCTGGCTTGTGCCTCTCTGGCCTCACTCTTGCTGTTCCTCAAATACTCTCAGGGCATTTCTACCACTGAACTCACCATCCATCCACTCAGAACACTCTTCTAGTTATCCCGGCCCCTTCCCCCAGATAGGGCTTGCTCCCTCACTTCCTGGAGGTCTCTGCCCAAATGTCCCCTCCTCCAAAAGCCTTCCCTGACCACCCTAAAAACACAGCACCCTCCCCTCAAACACTCTCTATCCTCTCGTCTCACCTGGATTGTTTTCACAGCACCAAGCATCACCTGACATTTTCTGTGTTCGTTGGTCGGTTTGCACGTTGTCTGTCTCTCCCCATTAGAATGTAAGCTCCTTGAGGACAAGACTCTGTTTTACTTGTGGCTGGATCCACAGTGCCTAGAACAGTGCCTGACAAGTAGTGGGCCCCCAACACGCGTGTTGAATACAGAAATTAATCAAGGATTGGGGGTACAGAGGTGACACTTGCCCTTGAAGCATTCCCAGTCTACGACAGGCAGTTTCCAGGACCACTTAAAATAGTGTTTCTCTGCTAGGACAATGCGTGAGAGAGGTGGGTGAAGCAGAGATACAGAGTGAGGAAAGGGTAGACGTTAAAATTTCCCTGCCGGTCACTCTGACGGCCTCCCCTCCCTTTCCCGAACTAATTAAGGAGGAAAAATATATGTATGTACAAGGCAGTAAAATTATAAAGGGGGCTCCAGATAAACTAAGGTGAATGTGTCCTGAATAAATTTAAATATTATACACAAAGATGCATAAAATAATGATTAAAAGAAGCCCTTGAGTGGCATAAGGCAATGGTTATTCTGGAAATGAGAGTCAAGAGAGTTCAGGGCACAGCGGGGAAACCTGCAGGTTCCTCCTGATGGAGAGATCAGAGAAATACAGAAACAGAGAAGCCAGAGAAGAGCGTGGCTTTCTCTTTGGTTGCCCCGTCATCCAAACAGGATGTTAAACCCATCTTGTGGTGATGGCACGTGGCAGCTGCCACTGGCATAGGGACAAAGTGCAGACTTTTAATGCTGAACTGCCCTCCAGCACCGCAGGTCTCAGATTTTTGCTCTGTCTTAAGAGATTCAAGGTGAGTTAAAGGAATCCTTTTCTTTTGTAAAAATTTATTCCTTGGGTGGTGGAAAATTAACCAGATTAAGTCTTGATTGATGACTCTGATGACTATTGAGATTTGCAAGAAAAGCAGCTGATCATACTGAGAATAGTTATTGATGGATATTTCCTGACTGTAACCTACATTATGTCTACTCTTTAAGAGAATAGTAGGGCTTCCCTGGTGGCGCAGCGGTTGAGAGTCTGCCTGCTGATGCAGGGGACACGGGTTTGTGCCCCGGTCTGGGAAGATCCCACATGCTGTGGAGCGGCTGGGCCCGTGAGCCATGGCCGCTGAGCCTGCGCGTCCGGAGCCTGTGCTCCGCAATGGGAGAGGCCACAACAGTGAGAGGCCTGTGTACCGCAAAAACAAAACAAAACAAAAAAAAAGAGAATAGTAATAAGAAAAATGTATAGTATTTTATATATGTGTATAAAATCATAATAAATTTGAAAAAAGCACTGCAATATTCCTTTCTTCTCCCTTATAAAATTTACTTGAACCTGTTTTTCCAATCCCTCAGGCAGAGTTTCTCAATCGCAGCACAATTAATATCTTGGACTGGATGATTCTTTGTTGTAGAAGGTTTTCCCGTGCACTGTAGGATGTTTAGCAACATCTCTGGCCTCTACCCACTAGATGCCAGTGACACCCCCTAGTTGTGACAACCAAAAATGTCTCCAGATACTATCAAATATCCCCTGAGGAGCAAAATCACTCCAAGTTTGAGAACCACTGTCCTAAGGCCATAACTGCGGAATCACACCCCTCCCCACAAAAAACCATGTATCACAACCGCAGAGAAAGCACCCAGTCCTAAGAGGAAATCAACTGCCTCTTGAATGCTGGACCTTCTGACCACAACTTCGGTGGCTGTCATGGAAGCGGTTCAATGAGTCAGGAGACCTCAGGTCTCATATTTGAACTGGAGCAATGGCCGTGATAAAAGATGGACTACATGGACTCAATCCACTGAGGGCACACAGCCAAATCCCCGGGGAGATGCCACAAAATATACTTAGACATCTCCTCTTTCCTCCCACTCCCAGGATTTATGAGGATTATGGTCCCCACTTGTATCCTCTTAGAAAGCAGCTCATTCAGATTCAGAATACTGTGAAATATCCCTAATATCTTATGCATGTTTTTTAAAGTATAAAGCCTATATCACTGTTTTCTAATTATAAAAGTAATGCATATTGATTTTTAATTGGAAAATTCCAAAAATGAGGAAGAAAGAAAAAGAAAGCGCCACTCTCCCCAGTAATCCCACCACTCAAACACAATTTGGGTCTAAGCTCCTTCCCTGGGGTAATTCATTACAAATATCATACCAGTATTAGCATCTTCCATGAGCTAAGTTTTCCCGATCTGCATTTTTTTTTTTTTTTTTTTTTGCGGTACGCGGGCCTCTCACTGTTGTGGCCTCTCCCGTTGCGGAGCACAGGCTCCGGACGTGCAGGCTCAGCAGCCATGGCTCACGGGCCTAGCTGCTCCACGGCATGTGGGATCTTCCCGGACCGGGGCATGAACCCGTGTCCCCTAGCATCGGCAGGCGGACTCGCAACCACTGCGCCACCCGGGAAGCCCCTGATCTGCATTTTTAAGGGATTTGTAAGGGTGATGAATATTTGGCCATCTTGGAAGTCTGTGTCTCCACAGCTTATACTTGCAGCTCTCATGTTGGGGGGAGAAACAACCTCACCTCAGCATGTAGGCCGTGGTGGGCAGGAGGACAGCAGAGCACCTGGCTGCTGCCATGGCAGCAATGCCTTCATCACTCACTTCTTCCAGGTGACTGATTGCCTGGGCTCCCAGTTCCACCCCGAGCTAAACAGAATGGGCAGAGAGACAGACAGAAGTTTCACCAACAGCAACAACAAATCAATAATGTGCCAGCAAATGGTTTTTCCTGCAAAAATAAACAGCACTCTATTATTAAGATTTCTTGCCAACTACCTCTCACGAGCACAAGCTCGGTGATCTGAAGTCGGCAGTGTGGTGAAGTGGATCCAGAGATATTTAGGAGGAGAATTGGGAGGACTTGCTGGTTGGCTGAAATGCAGTAGGTGGGGGGAGGGAGGAGTCAAAATGATATCCGGGGTCTCGACTTAGGCAACAGATGGATAATGACATCATTCACTGGAGCAGGAAACACGGGGCAAGATATGGACGTGATATTAAGAGATCATATTGAACGCGTGGTGGTCGAGACACACGTAGACTGGCTACATCTGTATTTATGCCCCAAGGGCAGTTGTTTATGTAGCTCTAGGGCTTAGAGGAAAGAGCTAGACCCCCAACTGCAGGGATTTTGTGTATCTTACTGCTGAATTCTCAGTGCCTAGAACAATGCCCGGCACACAGCAGATACTCAAATATTTGTAGAAAGCATGGATAAATTAATCTGGAAAAGACACATAGATTTGAAAATCATCCTGTGGCTATTAATGGTATGCTCCACTAAAAGTCCTCTGGATGCTGCCACAGAAAGACCCTAGAAGCTACATGTGAAATTACCAGACTGAGCTAGGGTGGCTTTGTGTGCCAATCAAAATAGGCTGTGAATTTAGTAAATGAGATCACAAAGGTACTTCTTTTTTCTACTAGTATCACCAGCAGGAAATAATCAAAGTAAATGATCAGCAAAAAAGTCTGAGATTCCAAGGCTCAACCACACCAACCTGCACATATTTCAAACAAATTTCCCCATTCTCTATCTTTTCAGATGGTTACTCCTTCCTTTGAACAAACTCATTAAGTTTTCCACAGCACGAGTGTTGACAAAGGAAAAGCAAAAGGTCACCCATACCTCAGCAGCCTTCATTGGGTGGAGTTCATCCCCATGGAAGTTAATCTGTAACCCTATATCTTTCCCGCTTTGAAGAATCCTTCTGGTGGAATCGAGATCAAAGACGCCCTTCTCACAGAACACATCTATATTGTCAACGTGTACTTCCCCATTTCTGCCAAGTTCCTTCAGCTTTGGGAGGTGGTTATTGATGATGTCATCAGCGGCTTCAGTAGCAGTTTTTCCTCTGAGGGAAGAAGAAAGTGAGATTACCGTGGGCACTTTTTTTTTTTTTTTTAAATTGGAGAAAGGGTTTTTTTGGCACTTGGGGAACCTGAGAAATTGTAGGTAAATGACCCCAAGCCTCAGAAAGGTAAAGAGAAGATCAAAGCTATAACTCAGGACTCTTAGCAATCGGGATGAGGCTACATAGCAGAGGTATTGATAAGACTTCTGCATACACTGACCCTATAGGCAGAGACTCAGATGGTTCATCCATTCTGGCACATCTGGGTTGCCTTTGGGAACACCTGGCTGAAAAACTGAATCTTCTTGTCAAGGACACGTAGAGGACATGCTGGATGCTTCCCTGACAACCCAACCGTGAGCCCCTTACCTGGGCCAAGCTATTACCCTGACTTTTTCTTCCTCCACACTGTTTCTAGAAGCATCTGCCTAAGGCTTTCTGCCTCATCAGACATAGGGGAAGAAGATAGTAGGAGGCCCTGAAATTCTAAGATTCTGGGGTAGTTATATATGAGAAAGGTCTGGGCTTTTGAAGTCAGACACAGAGCTGCGCCACTTGCTAGCCATATAACTTTGGACTCATGATGTAGACGTCATTTGGCATCCTCTGGGCCTCAGGCTTTATCTTCGGGGATCAAGATCAGACGTCAGAGGCTCACTGGCAGATGGAGAAATTTTCTGTAAAACTTTAGCCTTGTGTTTGGCACACAGAAGGCTCTTAGCAAAAACCATCTGGGTGGGTAGACAGAGGTGGGCTCTGAGGAGACACGTACTTATATATGCTGTTTCTAATTCTCGAGACAACCATATAGGATAAGCGTGTTATTTAGCTGGTTTACAGATAAGCAATTCATGTTCAGAAAAGTTAAGTGATCAAAACTTAACTCAAAATCACCCAGCTGGAAGTAGCTAAGCTAGACTCGAACCCAGGTCTGGTGTCCCTCCAAAGCCTGAGACTTTTCTGCCATGTCACATTGTCTTTCCTACTGAAAAAAAAAAAAAAACAGACTATAATAGACAGGATATCCCAAAAGTCTTAGTGCAGTTTCAAGCCATAATAATTTCAGAAGTATAAATGCTAAAAACATACAACAAACATCATTTGAAATATTAAGTATTTATATTTCCTTTCTACTTAGTTCTGTAAATTTTTCATAATAATTTCAACGTTAATTTTTTTAGCTCCTTTGATTAAAGATGGTAAATGAAATATTAACATTAAAATTTTGTCAGAGTTCACAGAACTAAATAAATGTAAAATTTTTTTAATGATTAACCTTAAAAGATTTAATTAACTTATTAATATGACTTAATTAAATGGGCTATTTATGTGATTAAACCATTTTTGTAAGCCTGCAGCATTTATGATCTAAGTTAGTTATCACAACTTAAAACTGCACTAAGACTTTGGAGACGCCTGTGAATTTTCAAGTCCTGGATTTCTTTTGGATCGTTTGGTTCTGGGACTGCGGGCCTTCTGATCTAGTAATTCCGGGATGGATGAGATGCAGAAGCAGAAGGGGAGAGATTCTCTACAGCAAATCCATACAGGAGGTACTTTCTAGATAAAGAGGAAAGCTGAAAAAAACATTTACAGCATTAAAACAAAAATGTTTGCTGCTAAACAAGCAAACAGATGAACAAAAATAAAAACCTCCCTACGTCATCTTGACGTCAAGATTTGATCTACCTCCCACGGGGTGTTACTCAATTCCTGAAGTGTCTTTGGGCTCACTGCCATGGGAAACTATTTAAATTAAAATCTGTCATTTTGGGGCTTCCCTGGTGGCGCAGTGGTTGAGAGTCCGCCTGCCGATGCAGGGGACACGGGTTCATGCCCCGGTCTGGGAGGCTCCCCCATGCCGCGGAGCGGCTGGGCCCGTGGGCCACGGCCGCTGAGCCTGCGCGTCCGGAGCCTGTGCTCCGCAGCGGGAGAGGCCACGGCAGTGAGAGGCCCGCGTACCGCAAAAAAAAAAAAAAAAAAAAAAAAAAAAAAAAAAAAAAAAAAAAAATCTGTCATTTTAAAGGGCCTATCAGGGGAATTTCCTTTTGTTAACCAAGAGTTTTGAACATCTCCTCTTCCTTCACTATTAAGGGAGTTGCAAACGAATGGGTCTGGTGGGACCCGCCTTCCTAAACCCATGTGTGTGAGATGCCTGAAGGTTGGAATCAGAACACCTTTCCAAAGGCTCTACTGGTCCCTCTGCAAGAGCTAATGTGCTGGTGCACCTTCACTCCCTGGAGAACGCAGCCCCACTTAGGCACCACATGAGCCCTTCTGCGTTCTCAGTACCCTGAGTTAAACCCTGGTCCCTTCGGCTGAGGTTACTTTGGCACCGAGTGAGCCCCGCAGTAAGTGGGTGAGAGGCTGATGTCCAGCTCCCGCCGGGCGCGCTCAATCACGCGTAGCATCTTGAGCTCCGTCTCCAGGCTGAGGCCGTATCCGCTCTTGCACTCCACCAGCGTTGTCCCCGCCCTCATCATGCACCCAAGCCGCTGCTGGAAGGAACTGAACAGCTCCTCCTCCGAGGCCTGGCGCGTGCGCTCCACCGTGAAGTTGATCCCTCCTCCAGCCTGGTGGATATCCATGTATGTGGCTCCTGCCAACTGAACACACGGTTCACCCTTAGGTCTACAAAATGCAGGGAGGTTGCAGGCAGCTCTACAGAACCTACGTACAGGGGTGATATTCGACATGACTGACAATCGATATGGCACAGGCACCAACCGATCAGGAAGGATGGTGGGGCACACAGTTCTGGAAGTCCCTACTCTACCAGGGTGGTGGGGAGTTGCAGGGGTCAGATCTGTTTCAGGAAGGGACTGGGGTGGCAGAAATGGAAGACGTGGGGAGGACTTGGGGCCTCAGGCTAGCGACAGTTTACCAACAGGTACAAAAGTATTTCCGTATTTTAACAACCCAGTCAGTCTCGGTGTGTACCAGCTAGTCTCGGTACCTATAAGAAAGCAAAGCTTAGGCGATTAGGGACCTCACTGTGGTTATTCAAGTCCTCACTAAGAGACCCAGAGCATTTCCACCCCTCAGTATTTGGCCACCTAGAGTTTCAGGCCTGACCTCTGTCACTCAAGCAAATAAAGAGGCTCCTTCTGGGATCCCACTGGACCCCTGTTACTCTGGGCAGCAGGGACTGTGCTGCAAACAAAGAGTGCCCGCCTGCGGGGCTCCCTTAGTCACACCCTTCCCTTCTGTTCTTAATTCTGTCATGTTCAAGTTATTGCAAACTCGAGCTTTTAAGGAAAGTTTCAATGGTTTTATAATAAATGATCTTCATTCATTTCATGTTAAAAAAACAAAACAAAACACCTGATGGGTTCGGCCCTTTTTGCATCACTTTCTGCATCATCGAATGAGAGAATTGGACCGTAAATCTCTAAGGTTGATTTCTGGCTCTGAAATTCAATGATTTAAGAAAGTCTTAAAAAAGTTCTAGATTGTTGAGAAAGGTAGACAATTTTTGAAGAAATTTTTTCTTTTTCTGAAATAATCCAATTTAGCTGTTAGGCTGCACAGGTTTTTTTTTTTTTTTTTTTTTTTTTGTGGTACGCGGGCCTCTCACCGTTGTGGCCTCTCCCGTTGCGGAGCACAGGCTCTGGACGCACAGGCCCAGCAGCCACAGCTCACGGGCCCGGCCGCTCCACAGCATGTGGGATCTTCCCGGACCGGGGCATGAACCCGCGTCCCCTGCATCGGCAGGCGGACTCTCAACCACTGCGCCACTAGGGAAGCCCAGCTGCACAGGTTTTTAAAAAACAGTGTGAAGAAAAAACACGGAGGCATCAACCTGAAAAGGCTACGTACTGTAGGATTCCAAGTCTATGACATTCCGGAAAAGCCAAAACTATGGAGACAGTAGAAAGATCAGTGGTTGCCAGGGACTGGGGGGAGACAGGGATGAATAGGCAGAGCAGAGATTTTTGGGGCAGTAAAATTACTCTGTATGATACTACAATGGTGGGGGGCATGTCATTATACATTTGCCCAAACCTAAAGGATGCACAACACCAAAAGTATAAAAGTAATAAAAGCTATGAACTCTGGGTGATAATGATGTGTCAATGTAGGTTCATCCATGGTAACAAATGTACCACTCTGGTCAGGGATGTTGAAAATGGAAAAGGCTGTGCTTTGGGCAGGGGGCAGGGAGCAGTGGTATATGGGAAATCTCTGTACCTTTCATTCAATTGTTCCGTGAACCTAAAACTGCTCTAAAAAATAAAGTCTACTAAAAACAAGGAAATAAACAATGTGAAAATGGCTCAAACCAGAGATTTGAGGGTTGACTGCAGCTAATTAATGACTGACAAAGACTACAATTTATGTTTCTTAATAAGTCTCATTTTTCTGGAAAAAAAGTGGGAACAATATAAGACATTTTATTTTTGTGATTAATATTATGTTTTTCCAAGTTTAACCCCAATGAATGGTGATTTTCAAACTGTTTCCTGGAGTCCCTTCAAAGGCTACCAAGGGATGGAACGAGGAAAAGAAAAGAGAGGAGAAATTAGTGAGCAAAGCAGGTCAGCTCTATTTTAAAAGGAGGATTCGGCAGCTAAAACATCTTGAAAACTATTATACTTGAAATGACTGATAGCCCTGGGCACAGTATAAAGATTTGGTACCAAGTTATAAATTGGTTAATTTTGTTGTAATTTATTTCCATAGTCCAAGCCAGTAAAAATATCCGTTAAAAAGACATGTAGACATTTTCTGTAAAGCCTAACAGCCTACGGACTCTAGAAAACCACGTCTATATTTGTGCTTTATTTTGATTTGCCATTGTTTATTGCAGTTACCTTCATCGCAAACTCATGAACTCTTTCACCAGCCCATACTGGATGTGTGTGTGCATCCACTAAACCTGTAATCAATAAATCAAATCACGTTTAAAGTGAAGAAACAGAAAGCACTTAGACAGCAGGCAGACTCTACTATACAGTTCTTAGGAAAGCATGATGGTGGTCAGCCATCTTGGAGGAGGGTGGAGAGGGAGAATTTGTCTGCATGGCTCCAAGAAGACTCCCTGCATGGCTGGTCTAGAAGGCTCTAATGGAGGAGGGTGACTCAACATGATGAAAATATCCCCTAAAGAAATACAGCTCCTTTTGCCCAATAAATCCATGCTCCCCAAGCAACCTTTTAAAACAGGATGTCAAATCTATTAGCTGAGCAAAACCAAGGACTATAGGACCAAGGAAGAATCTGGGTGTGAAAAAGAATAATACTATCCCTACCCTCAACTTTGAGCAGGAAAAGCATAAAATGAGAAAGATGAATCTTTCTTTAAGAAAGAAAAATATTTTAATTAAAGAGAAACTATAAAACGGTCACTTGAAACTTTTGTTTATCCCAGTACAATTTGGTAAAGTCTGTCCTTCCAGAACATTCAAAGTGCCTTATGGATTAAACGGCTCATTAGTGGTTCCGATCGAAGTAAAATCAAAAGTCCCTACCATATATTCTCTACCCTATTCTGCTCTTTCTCATGAGGTTTCACCCTTTCTCCCCTGACCCCCAAGGGCCAGATAGTAGAAGCTGTCAGATGCGCACAGCACACAAGTATAAATCCTAGCCTCTGTGTTTGCGCAGAACTCAAAATTTGTGAAATTTGTTTCAGAGGATTACATAAAGCCATAAAACATAGAAAACGTAGGAGATAATGGTTAATACACTGATTCTGTTACCCATCACTGAAGATACAAATGAACTTCAGTGAAATCTCTAGGGTTTCTTGGTTTATGTTTTGTCGCCTGGAGATGGGTCCTTTGTTTCATACTCTATACAAATTTAGAGTATATTCTGGAATTACAGAGAGCGATTTGCTGTCTTTGCCTCCCCTATGCCATGGATTAATAAAATTCTTCCAACAGCTTTTGAACCCAAGCCCAGCACAGCTGGTTCTCTTCAACATATGAGTGGGAAGAAGTGGAGTGAATGAATGGGTGTGACTCCCAGCTTGCCCTTCACCTGTTTAGAGATCTTGGGTAAGATATTTCACCCCTAAACATCAGTGTTCTAATCTGCAACGTGTAGATAATGATACATACCTTCCAGGGCAGTTAGGTTTCATTCAACATGAAAGTGCGTTTGTAAAGCAGCTAGACATTTACTGGTAGAAATTCAATACATGGTAGCTATTATATTTTCATATTATTGTGAAACCTTGTTTAAAACAAGCTACTACTCTTCCTCTTTACACTACTAAAACTGCTTTCAGGGCTTTACTGAAAAAGAGGTTAATACCTGGCAAGATGCATTTCCCGGAACAGTCAATTCTTTCTTGAAATGTTTCTTCTGAAAACTGTTTTTGGATAGCATCAGCAGGACCGATGGCTTTTATGAACCCATCTCTGAACAAAAATCAAGAAATTATTACGAACTTTGGGGGAAACATTGTGAAAATTTTGACCAATGATCACGTTATCGATGCCTTTTGGTGTCAGTCAATATTTATTGTATTTCCTTCTTGAGTGTGTGTCTTTGGAAATTGACTCTAGCCACATGCAAGGCAAAAAGTCAAATCAGGTGTAGCAGAGATTGCTAATTGTTCCCCAAGATCAACGTTCCCTTTTCCCACAGTGCTAGATTCCTAAATTTTAGCTGGACGCATGACCACCCAGAATAAAGACTACCTTTCCGTGTCTCCCATCAGCCAGGTGTGGCCATGTGACTACGTTCTAGCCAATAGGATCGTTTTCTCTGCCTACTTCCTACTGGCTGGAATGTAGACACCATAATGAGAGATGGCACAGCAATCCTGGATGTTGGAGTGCCTGTGAGCAAGAGGGCAGTGCTCAGCTGAGCAAGACAGTAGGGGTCGGGTCTGTATCCTCAGAACTCCGCGGAGTACGACCATCAACTAGCCCTAGGTTCCTACATCCATGCAATTCTGTTAACTCATTTTAACAAGTTTTTGACAGTAACACTGGGAATGTTTTTCATTGTTAATTAAAAACAAACACATACAGAGTCCCTAAAAGCTGGGCTCTTACACAACCGTAAGCAGACTCAGATAAGGGATGAGACTTGTGTAATCGCAGTGACATAGGCTCTCCAATTCAGATGGGCACCCAACCCCCATTACCACTCCAAGTCCACCCTTCCAAACTTTGGCTGTTCTTTTATTCTCAGAAGTGTAAATGAAAATAACTGAAAATGTCCTCTCTTTCTGGTGGCTGAATCTTAATTATCTATCACCCCAAACCATCGCCATCTGAACGTTTTCTGTGGTTCTCAAGCTTTGGGGTGCAGACGAAGGGGGTGGGAGACGTGCTTTGTAAAAATTCCGATCTCAGAACTCCACCCATAGAGATCCTGATTCAAAAGACCTGGGGATAGGTGGGGACTGGGTGGAGGGGATTGGATGAAGGTAGTCAAAATGTACAAACTTCCAATTATAAGATAAATAAGTACTAGGGATGTAATGTACAGCATGATAAATATAATGAACACTGCTGTATGTTACTTATGAAAGTTGTTCAAAGAATAAGTCCTAGGAGTTCTGGTCACAAGGAAAAAAATTTTTTCTACTTCTTTGAATTTGTATCTACATGAGAGGATGGATGTTCACTATACTTACTGGTAATCATTTCATGATGTATGTAAGTCAAATCATTGTGCTGTTCACCTTAAATCTATACAGTGCTGTATGCCAATTATATCTCAATAAAACTTGAAAAAAAGAAAAAAGATCTGGGGATGGGGGGGGCGGCATAAGAAGTCTGTCTTTAAAAAAAAAAAATCTCAGGCCGTCTGAGTCAGGTGGTCCCCCGTCCGCACTTCAAGAAGCATTGGAGAGAACCCCTATGCCTTCAGATTGCTGCAATTATATTTTATCAGCAGAAGCGGGATCTTGACGCTCCCCAGTGGGATGTGCAGCTTGAGAGAGGTTTCTTCAACTGAATGACAACCGGAGGCGGCCAGATACATTAGCAACAGGCGCCTAAAAGAAAGGCGTGCCAATGACTGCCTGGGTGCGAAAAGGCTGTTACCGCGTTCCCCTCCACAGCGCACAAGTTACAGAAAGAGCACCAAGCTGGGCCTTGGCTGACCGGTGCCCCCCAGCACACGACCCGGGGTGCCCGCAGCTCCAGAACGCGCGGCCACTTACGTGCCCACCACCAGGCTGGCGCCCTCCAGCACCGCCAGGCTGCGCAGCGCGTCCCGCGCCAGGAAGCGCTCGCCGCGGGCGCACACCAGCACCACTTGCCGCGCGTTCTCCAGCAGGAGGCGGTGGCCGTCCGCCATGTCGCCGCGCACCGTAGGTCTAGCAGAGGCTGTGCGTGTCCCGCCGCTGGCGGCCAGCGGTAGAGGGGACAGGTCCTCAGGCGGCGCCGCCTGGGGCCAGCAAGGAGGGGCGGGGGGGGGCGGGGCGGGGGCGGGGGCGGGCGCTCTTAGCAGCTGCCAGTCCAGACCGCTGGGGATGCGCGCCTCCCCCCACTACGAACCGGCAATAAGAGTACCAGCAACAAGAATGATGATTAGTAATAAACGTTATGGAATCTTCTCTTTCCTGTTCGCTTTGTCATGCTCTGGGTAAATGTGGTAGAGAGTCCTGTCCCTACTTTACAGGTAAGGAAACTGCGGCTCTTTGGAGGGAGAGAGAAAGGCTGGCTGCAACGATCACGTGACCTGGCGGAAGGGAGTCACCGAGGGCTAGGGGGCCCGGAGGGGGGCAGAATGGGGGAGGAGGGGGACCTGGGTAGGGGCAGGGGCCGGAACCTGAGACAGAGCCCCGGGAGGGAACAGAGTGAGGAGAAACCTCTGCCCAGAAACTCGCGGCAGCCTGGGACTCGGGGGGCCGCCCGC